TGGGCTCCATCGAAAATCGAGGAATCGAATTTCGATAGATTTCCCGCACAAGATAGGTGTCTGATCGATGTCGTCTAACGTCTGCTCACACAGTCTAGGTTCCATCGAAAATCGACGGATCGAATTTCGATAGATTCCCTGTGGAAGATAGGCAGCTAATCGCAGACGTCCAAAGTTTGCCCTCGCGGTCGGGGTGCCATCGAAAATCGAGGGATCGAATTTCGATAGATTTCCCGCGCAAGATAGGTGTCTAATCGAAGTCGTCTAACGTTGCTCACGCAGTCTAGGTTCCATCGAAAATCGAGGAATCGAATTTCGATAGATTTCTCGCACAAGATAGGCGACTGATCGAAGACGTTCAACGTCCGCCCTCTTGGTCGGGGTGACATCGAAAATCGAGGAATCGAATTTCGATAGATTTCCCGCAGAAAATAGGTGTTATATCGAACTCGTCTAACGTCTGTTCACGCAGAAGGGGTTCCATCGAAAATCAATAGATCGAATTTCGATAGATTTCCCGCGGAAGATAGACAGCTAATCGCAGACGTCCAAAGTTTGTCCTCGCGGTCGGGGTGCCATCGCAAATCGAGGGATCGAATTTCGATAGATTCGCTGCGGAAGATAGGTGGCTGATGGATTAATCGAAGTGGTTGGACGTCCGCCCCCGCAGTCGGCGTTCCGGTTCCGGTGTGGCGGGTCGGCGGAAAAGAATGGCCGGAAAAGGCGAGCGGTGGTTGGGCGGCGGCGTCGCGACGCCCGGCGTCTCCGGGCGGGAAAAACGCCTCGGAGTGAATGATAGTCGCTGCTATTATCGGACGGAGCGGCCGGAACGCGGCTCCGGGTCGTGTCGCTTCTTTGGTAGATAGGTCATGGACGATTCTATTCCAATTCAATTCCACCCGCGCCTTTCATGCCATGCTAAGGAAGAACGCCGCAACTTGAGGATCACTGCATGCAGAAGGATCCTCTTTGCTCCAACAGCAAGGCGATCTTTTGCAGAGCCCCCGAAAATGCTGCCGGGCTAAAGAAGAACGCCGTATGAACATTTGAGAGTTGCCAAATTTCCTCCGATGAAATGTTTATTTTTGAGAAAAGCTATGAATATTTTTCCTTGACATTTTTAGGAACTTTAGTTGAAATTGCGAACAAAATTATCTGAATAATTTAAGGTAAAATATTGAAAAATCTCCCCCAAAAGATTGTGATTTATCAGAGGAAAAACGCCGTATGAACCTTTAGGCGTTGCAAAATTTCCACTGATAAAACACGGATTTCCTGGTAAACTTATGAATATTTCCTTTCCAACTTTTCAGATTATTTTGTTCGCAATTTTATTTATAGTTCCTGAAAATTTCAAGGAAAAATATTCATAACATTCCTCAAAAATTAACATTTTAGCGGAGGAAATTTGGCAACTTTCAAATGATCATACGGCGTTCTTCTTTAGCCCGGCAACATTTTCGGGCGCTCTGCAAAGGACCGCCTTGCTGTTGGAGCAAGGAGGATCCTTCTGCATGCAGTGATCCTCACGGAAAAAAAAGTTTCACAATCCAGGTTTTTGTGCGGAAATGTCAAAATCTCCGAATTTGTGCGGAAACGTAAACACACCTTCATAATCACCGCTCATTTCATAGCTTGAAATCTATACAGAATATTCTGCTAACAGAGGAGGAAAATCAAAGAAGTTCTCATGAAATAATGTTGACTCGTTTTCAAAGGAAAAGATACAGCATAACAGGAGTTCTATCTGCAACAACGCAAATGGCGATACGCGGTTTCAAAATTTAGTCATCAATATTGCACTAAGCTGAAGAATGTGGATCCATCTCAAACAGTACATTGTAACATCGTCACCATCTGGCCAAAGTATCACAAACGCCATGCGACGTTTAAAAATTTCCGCCACCATTTTATTTTTTTACAGAGGAATTTTTCAACGAAGCTGTCAGAAAATTCCACTGAATTTTTTTCCTGTGCTGCCGATAAAATTCAGCGAAATTTTCAAACAGATTCAACCGAAAATTTCTCTGCGAAAAAAGAAAATCGCGGCGGAAAGTTTAAGACGTCGCATGGCGCTTGTGATACTTCGGCCGGGAGGTGACGACATTAGAGGATAACGATCAGTAAAAGTCACCCCTTCGGAATAATCCTCGAGAAACAACTAAAAAACGTCGTAAAACACGGAGCGTTTTGTCCGTTACAAGGTAGCAATTTTCCGCGGAAACAAGCCGAAATGATAACCGTCCCGTAATCGGCCCAATTACCGAGATGCAATCGACATAATAACGCGTTACTAATGCTGATTATTCTTTCTCCAACGGAGGAACCGGAGCCCATGAAAGTGACTGAGTACAATCCTCGCTGTTTGACGAAAGGGCGTATCTAAATTTTAGGATGAGCCCCAGGAAGCATTGATTCATATGTCAAACAGGGTTCACGTGGAAATCGTGATACGCCTTTACGTCAAAAGGGCGACGAAATGTAGAATCCGATCTCCCACTGGGCGCCTCCATCTTCACACCGCGTAAAAATCCGACGTTTACCGCAGGAACAACGTAACTTCACTCCAGGGTTGCCGAATTTCCAATCAAAACTTTTATATTTACCACTGAATTTCAGGCATTTTTAACTGTGAATTTTACCGATTTTTCCTGTGGCCACTAACAAAAATCAGTAAAATTTTTGACGCACATTTTCAGGTCATATTTTTGTAAAGGAATTAACGAATGGTTTGTGTCAATTTGGCAACCTTGGGATGGAGATACGTTCTTCCGTCTTTAAAACGACGGATTGTGCAACGGGCGGAGCGCCCGGCGGGTCCCGGCCAGGCGACCGGAAATGACTTCCCATCGGCCTCCGTGGAGCTATTGATTCAAACCTAACCCCATCCTTCCTGTCATTGTTTTTTTTTTTCTTTTTTTGTTGACTCTTCTCGGTTTTCGGCATTGTGTGTCTAGCCCGCAGCGACGGCGTTTGTCAGATTTTTATAAAATTTGGTTAAATTACACAAATATTGGAAGAAAATATGCACGGACGTAAATGCACCAGGTATGCAAAAGATTCTAAAATGCCGACCGTGTTCGCGATTTCGCCTAACGGCAATTTTTTTAATTTGCTCTAGCATTGAAACATTGTTTTAGTCATCTGAAAAACTTTTAAAGCAATAACACTTGAAGAAATAAAGGAATCCAAAACGAAAACTAAAAAACTCAAACTCACAAAAAATAATTAAAATTGCCGACGCGTTTCGGGGCTCTCCGGCCCATTCTTCGAGGCTAAATTCCGACACGTTTCCCCGTTCTCCTGTTTTCTCTTTTTCCGTTTTCTCGTTTTCCCGTTTGTTTCCTTCGGTTCAGTTTTCGTTACTTTCAGTTTATTAACAGATTATTTAAATCTCACTCTATGCCTTAAAAAATAGGGCGAATCACAAAGAGGCAAAATTGAGCAATTTACCATTAATTCAGCAATGCCCCCCGTGAGGACAATAAAAAAATTTGTCGTCGGGCAAAATCGCGAGAGACGGTCGGCATTTTAGAATCTTTCGCATCTATAGTGCATTTATACCCGCGCACATTTTCTTCAAATATTTGTGTAGTTTAATACAATTCTATAAAAATCTGACGATCGCTACGGGTGTCTCTTTGAAATAAAAAAATACCGCTTGGAACGAGGAAATTTCCTGTTGACTCTACGAAAATTCTCATCTCTACATTATTATTTGGAATTTCTAGTGATCCTGCAGCAAATTCATCTCAGTGCGGCGATTTCGTTTGCCTAGAAGACATTTACCTGCATCCGGTGGTTCAGTGTCGTAAGGCTTCAGGAACTACTTTTATAAATGAAAATACTTTTAATTTTTCCTCACGGTCCAAGATATGTCCAGAGGATCGGGAAAGCAAAATGGCAATAGAGGGAGAGAATAAGAAATTTTCAACCGTCGTAAAGTTCAAAAGCATGAAGAATATTAATCATGGGGTAACCGACTGAGGTGTGCACCGTGATAGGCTATGGTATTGTCAATTAAAGTGCCCCCGCTGGGTATTTGCCATCGAGTGTAAAATTTTTATATCTGGAAATCTGACAACATCGTCTGATGACATCCGAACATAGCAACGCCATAGAGGCCAATGCGGCGCCGGCAACGAGACGTTTTGTCCCCGATGCAAGTAGGTTACCACGGTGACGCGTCGCTTAAAAATTGGAGCATAACTGCTAGACTTGAAAAATAATTCGGTCATACGGATAGAAAAAACGACTTCTTTCGCTGAAAATTGATATTTTACGGGCTAACGAACAGTACCACCTAGGTGAGATTTTGGCAAAATTGAGTTAGCGACTTTGCCGCGTTCTACTGTGTACGCTACTACTGTTTTTGGAAACAGGAGGATGCAATAGACAAAAGAGGACAAATTATTTTTAGATTGCAAATATGCCTGGAGACTTTAACGCCAATTTAGGAGTGTAGAGAGTCGAGTTATACGGTGAGTCACAATGAGCTGCCGGAGAAGAGGCAATATAGTAACTTCGAAGTCATTTGCTCTGTTTCAATTTTGCGTCTAATTTTTGAAATCGATAGACAAAATTATAGACATAGAAGACTAAGGAGACGGGAGGATCCAATAGACAAAAGAGGACAAATTATTTTTAGATTGCAAATATGCTTGGAGACTTTAACGCCAATTTAGGAGTGTAGAGAGTCGAGTTACACGGTGAGTCATATTGACCTGCCGGAGAGGAGGCAATATAGTAACTTTGAAGTCATTTACTCTGTTTCAATTTTGCGTCTAATTATTGAAATTGACAGACAAAATGATAGACAAAGAAGACTAAGGGAAAATGAAGGGATCCTATTGGTGGAAGCGGATGGTTGCAATGGGCAAAGAGGTACCCAATAGACTAACTAATGACAACCCACGAGAGATCCTAGAGCTAGTTCATCATTATAATATAAAGATAGTCTATAAATCGTCCATTGTATTATAATACGTGATTCAACTTACCACTATACTGGAGAAGCCGTCCGTCTTGGAGCAGACAATCATTATGCTCGTATTGACTTTCGACAAATCGAACTCTGGAGGACTCGTCGAATTGTAAATTTGGAGATTTTTTTGAGATCCATAGTCATACTTACAATATTTCCCTGCAAAAAAACGTTTTTGAGAATCACAAAAATGTTTATTTTGAATCGTTGTCATTTGGATGTTTGTGCAGACTTTCTTTTTTACGAATTAACGACTGAAATTGATCCACGACTGATTGTTCCATTGAATTTGCAAAATTTGGTAATAGGACAAAATGTCCAAAAATAAAAATTCAAAGTACAAAAATGTCCAAATTCAAAGAAGTTCACGACTAAAAGATGTCCAAATACCTGGAATGTCCAGTAGCAGTATTATGGCCAAAAACAAAAATGCCCAAATGTGACATAATTTTACAAAGTGGCAAAATAGTGAGCTTGGAATCTATCTACAGAAATAATGAAGAAGCAGTGATACAGAGTGTTCCTGACCTACCTTCTGGACATTTCAAACACTTGGACTTGTTTTGCTCATGGACTTTTTTCACATTGGCTATTTTTTTACTTTGGACATTTATTTTTGGACATTTTGTCCCATCACTCAAAATTTAAGACGATAAAAAAAATCAAAAGCTCTTGAGACCGTCCACAGCTCGCGACCCATTATTTACAAAATGATGAGGCAAATCAAGGTGGTGGTCTATTGGCACAGGTTAAGACAAGGTAGATGTGTTAAGAACTATATAATTTAATACTTTCACCAGGATAATACTTAAAGTCAAAATTAAATAACTGGGTATTGTTAATGAGAAATGTGATTTTTGAAGGCTTCAAAACTGCGTTTGAATTTTCATCGCGTTGAAATTGGGAAAAAACACGTAATATAGACATATATTTTAAAAGCGTGCTTTCCGGGGTATCCAAATTACTAAACGTACCTGACTTTAGATGCTGAAAATAGTGCAACACTGTTTTACTCGAAAAGTAATCCGGATAAATATCATACAGTTTGTGCATTAATGACTGAAACATACAAAAGTGAATATTAGTGAATGGTCTAAGGTTAGTAAAATGGTGAGATTTGAGAAAAAAATTGGCGAGTTATATAGGTGAATGTGCAAAATTAAAAACTCTAAATGTGACTTTTTTGGCTTGATTCTCTAAAAATAATGAAGAAATGAAAAATGCTCGGATGGAGCAAACACATAGTTTTTTATATAAGGAAGCAACATCATTTTTTATTATAAAAAGAAGAAATATTACTTGACGGCGAATTCAAGAATATTTTTTTTCAGTGTCCTTAATGAAATTTTATTGAGGGCACATATTGACGGCGTAACTCCGTAATCAACAATGTCGTTTGCGGTGTCTGAAGACCTCCGCCTCTATGTTATTTTTTTAAAGGAGAACAAATTCACATCATTCCTTGTAATTTATGCAGAATTTTCTTTGCACAGGGAAGAAAAATCACAGGTTTTTACTGAATTGCCGTTGAGTAGTTTTCCATCTAAAAAATAAAGTACGGAAGGAAGTCTGCGACGTCGCCAACCGAGTTATGTGATTGCCGACTTACACCGTCGATATATGTTATGGTGCTGGATTTCTCACCCTGTCCAGTTGTAGTTCTTGAAAGTTGGCAACACTGTTTTTTCCTCCATTTAAACCCATGTAAAATATCGATTGTCGATTATCAAGAATTGATTGTTTTACATACATTTAAATGAAGGAAATACAGTGTTGCCATCTTTCAAAAATCGCCATTGACCCTGTCTTGTCGTCAATTCAGCTTACAGTGCCATTAACTTTCACGGATTATCAAGTGCAAAATTTCCATTTTCATGTATATTATCTTCTTTTAATTTCTTTAATTGGAGTACATTTTGCATTTTGAAACTACGATTTCTGGCCTAATTTAAAAACAACTTATGTGCCATTAGTTTTCCTGGAGACCTATGTGTTTTTACAAATGAGCCAGAAGCTATACTATCTAATTGCAAAATGTACAGTCCAATTGGATCTTGAAAGTTTTTATCGATAATTCTATGAGGTAACTACTAGAATGAATACAAACTTACTGTTTTAAATGGGATTTGGAAGCCCTCAAAAACTGAGAGAAATTGCCGGCACAACGAGGCTCCGAAATTAGGGAGCGTACAAATACGTCGGTTAAAAACTCGGAGGATATCCAGATTGAACATCGGCATGAAGTAAAAATGAAGCTCTTGCAGATAACGCTAAGAAATGAGGACAAAAAATTCAAAATCATGTATTAAATTAACGGAAAAATAAAGAAAAAAAATATACGAGAATTTATAAATTTTATATAAGACTTATCTGAATCTTGGGTTTGGTTGTTTTATTTACTCAAATCATTAAATCTAATTTTATTTACTTTTCTATTTTCATTTCAACCCTTAAAACTAATAACTATGAATTTTATTTTATTTTTAAATTTATGCTGGTTCCTTTTAGTATATTTTCATTTTTCCTTATCTTTTATCTGTTGCTTTGTATACAGGGCTGCTATTTGCTTTGTATATCTTTCGCTTGACAGGGCTGCCTTTTTATTTGGGGACTCTAAAACTGAAAACCCGGCATCACTGCTAATGTATTTGCTCCCTATCTTTCTATCTTTGCATGGAGAGTTTGTCTTGATATAGAGATGGACTCTCAGGATAGCGTGGGACATCTCCTCCATTCTGGCCTCAACTTGAGAGCTGTTTTTGAGCTTGGGAGTTGATTTCAGAGAAAACCAGTGGGACCATCGTGTTTCTCGCGAACTTTTACACAAGAATCAATAGTCAAATCGCAAATTCCTCACTCATGCAACATCTCTATTTCACGAGGAACAGGAAATGGAAATGGAAAATGGAATACAAGTACCTGTATTGAATTGACGTAAGGTGCAATTAGCTTGAGAGGTGTGGACGCATGCTGCATGGACGTGGTCGGGGCCATGAGGATGGCGCTTTGGATCTTCTCGTTGTACTCTGGGCGCTCGGTGACGCCGATGAGAATTGCACTTGCGCCCATGGAGTAGCCCAGAATATGGACTCGCGGCTTGTTCGTCTGCTCCAGCACGTAATCGATGGCGGTTAGCGTGTCATAGATTCCGTGCTCGGTGAAGCTGCAACCAGTTCAAACAAAACATTTCCGGTGTCAGAAATTATTTTCCATCAATGATACGTAACCGTCGCTAGAATATGATGTGAAGAGAAAAAAGGATGCTTATATTTTCAGGGAATACATAGGCGGATCTAAGTGGGGGCGTAGGGAACGCACACCCCCCCTCGTTCGCCCTAAAAAAAGAGGCGCGCTTAGTTCCGTATGACAGAACGCGCTACCCGGCATTCTAAATTCCTCAATAGTAACTCAAATTGGCGCTTAGTTCCGTTTGACAGAAATAGTCCAAATAATGCACATTGTATGCTAAAACTGTTTGAAATTCAATCTAGGAGGGCCTATATTTTTGTACCAATTTCCAGGGGAAACCCCCCTAGACCCCCCCCCTCTTACTCTGAAGGGGGGCTGTCTTCTCCCTCATATCCTCCACTCTACATCGACAACTGGTCGCCTCTCCGGCTCACTTTGGATCACTTTCAACTAAGCACAACTTCCCGAATGGCATTTTTCAACGGAAAAATCGCTAGGATCATCAATATCTCAGCGATTATTCTCGATCTCATCGCGATATCATCGAAGTAAAAATCGCGATTAATGGCGATTAATCACTGAAAATATAAGCATCCTTTTTTTCTCTTATCTCCATTCCCTGGATCCGCCACTGGTTCAGTTCTTTTTAACGGTGTAGAGTAACTTTAAATACGGCCCATAGTTTTGCACCCCTCCCGCAAAATAACCATTTTTGACAAATTTTTCTCCAGCCATTCGTGAATACACCACGTGGTGCTTAATTCGCACTCTCTGAATTGCAAGAAGCAATCGCGGTCTCAATCATTGAGCGAGCGAACATGAATTTGGGCGTCTAATTCGGACTGATTCGGAGGCGCCTTGATCAGCATCGCGGTGGCTGGTGCTCAGCTCTCGGTGATAGAAGTGAGGAATTAGAAAGCTGCTCACTTCCTTGTGCCGGACCGCGGTGATGGCGGTGGTCATTTGATTAGGATCATAAATCATCATCATAAGGATGGACTCGCACATTAATTGGACTCAACCAGAGTGGAACCGCACCGCGCACCGAGACGAAACTTCCTCCCGATGCACAGCGCCGCCACCGCAAATACAGGGTGTTCACGTTCAGCACGAGCCATACAATATCTCGGGATTTTACGATCCTTAACACTGGGAAAGTATCGGAAGTGGGGTTTGGAAGTCAGTATATCCAAATCTGAGTAGATGACTTTTGGAGGTGATCAGCAAAGCATTGAGTTGAAGGATCCCTGCTAAAAATGATGAGTAGACTATTCAGAATTCGCTGACTCACATGAGTAAAAGTTCCTACTTAGGCGAGTGGAAATCCTACTCATATCAAAAGAATATTCTACTCATAAGAGTATAGAAAAGTTCAACTCATATGAATTCAGTTTTTTTCATTTTTCAGAAGTGGTGTTTTGACCAGGAGACACCGACAGTATATGTAACTTTGAAAAATAAGAACAATTTGTTCTTGTAATTTTTTTGATGCGGTGACTAGTATCCGAGGTATCGGACACAGTAGATTCAACGCTGAACTCGTGTGAGTTGAAATCTCTAGTCATATGAGTTGCAATGTCTGGTCATGTGAGTCGGCGAAAAGTGAATAGAAAAATTCTGCTCATATGAGTTAAATTCTATTTATTTAAGTTGAAATTCTATTCATATGAGTTGAAATTCTATTCATATGACTTTGATTTTCTATTCATTTGTATTCACCATTTTTAGCAGGGATGGGCAACAGATCAATGGCTGTGCGGATTATAAATACTTGGGAATGCGGTTGACCCAGGATGAAAGGACGGATCAAGCTATCAAGGAAAGAAACACACTTGCAAGGAAGGCTGTAGCGATGTGAAATGGAATCCTCTGGGATCCACGGATTTCCGAAGATAACAAGAGGAGGATATACAACGCTGTGGTTAAAAGTATATTAACATACGGATGTGAAGTTTGGCAGCTGAAGAAACGGACACAGGATATGTGACACGGAGATGAATTTCTGGAGGAGGTCGGCAGGAATTTGTGGAAGAGATCGGGTCCGTAATGATAGAGTTCGTCATTATCATGGAAGTCGAAAATGACATCGTATTCGGCGTCATGACCAAACAGCTTGTCTGGTACGGTCATGTCACTGCCAAAAAAGATGTTTGATTGGGTCCAAAAAAAAGGACACAAAAAGCTCTCTTTTGACAGGCACTTCACTGGAAGAAAAGTCTCTAAAATCTAGAGTCCAGACTCTTAAAAAAGTTGCCGAGAACATCCTCATGATTCAATCGGATTTTTCTTGAATCGAAAGGCAAGCCTCTTAATTTAAGCGGATTCCTTTTGATTCAAGCAAAAATCAGATTGAATCATGAATATTTTTTCTTGGCAAATTTTTTAAGAATCTGACCACTAGATCCTAGAGATTTTTTCTCCAACTTCGTTGCAAAAATGAGCTTTGAACTCAAATGTAAACTTTTCCCTGAAGAATTATCTCATCAGAAGATTTCGTTGCGGCCACATTTGAACCAAATCCCTGAGTTCCCCCAACTTTAACTTTCCTCTTGAAAAAAAAAAAAACATTCTGTATAGCCGCTGAGGCCTTTAGTTGATATCTGAACGCCCGGCAAAATCGTCTCAAGATCAGCTGTAGCGGAAATAAACGGAACCCTGTTTTGCTGATTTTGCTGATCCTCGAGGTCCGAATGAATGATTAACGTCTCTGGGATTCAGAGCACCACCGTACAATGGAGGAGACGATATTATCAAGAAAGCTGATTAATATCACTTAAAATTCAATTGCTCTCAGTGCTCTGAACACAAGCTCCAACTCGAAAATGATCTGAATGAAAGGATCTCGTACTACGAAACAGTAAATCATACTCTTTGACCATCCTTCCTGAATATTTTCTATGGGTGATGGGTTTATAGACAATTTTTTTACTTTCATTCCTTCTCGATTTTCTGCATCAGAAATTAGATAAGTTTGGTCTATGAGCGACTTTTAAATTTTGATTTTTTATCCTTATTTTGATTTAAGGCTAGGAAATATTTTTTTAATTTTTGTGGTTTGAAAGAGAGGGTAAGAATCCCGTTTTTTTCTTCTTTTTTTAGTTTTAACGCAAAATTCTTATACGGTATTCTCTCGCTATAATGACACTCATTATAAAGAAAATCTCTCTTTTGCGAAGGAATCGCCCGGTCCCTTGCTAATTCGTTATAGCAAGAGGAGGACTGTATATGCCGAACGTTTGGTAACACGAACCGAAAGTTCAGTTTGCCAAAGTGAATATTTGGAATGATAATATAGAATACCGAAGCAGTGCTCCCCTTTTTGGACTCGGAACTTTTGAGATTTTCCTGAATTTTTCCCGGAACTTTTGGGATTCCCAAATGTTTCGAATTTTTTGCAGTTTTCGGAACTTTTGTATGAATCTAAAAAGGATCCCGGAACTTTCGACGGTCATGGAGTTCAAGAAATTGGAACAAAAAAGATCTGAATCCCGGAGGTTTTGACGAACATGGAACAGGAGTGCTACACTGAGAGTTCGGTTCACATGATCGGGTTTTTTTTTTTTTTTTTTTTTTTTTTTTTTTTTTCAGTTTGAAACGTATCGGTAAGCTGCACTGTGACAAATTCGAAACACCCGCTGCCACCGACTAACGCGGGGGTCATCTGCCGGTGAAATTTGAAGGGCGGAAGATTTGCGGGAATTTCACGGAAACGCGAGGATATCCAGTAGCGAGGAGGATACCGCTAAGCGTGTCCACGCGATAAAAATCCAATCTTACGGTGAAGTACAATACGGGACAGCGATGCCGCCTCGAAATACGTTGGATATCATTTTCAACCAAGGAAATATTATTGGCGTTTTCTCTCAAAGATCTTAAGGCTCTACCTTCCTTAAGGCACTCTCTCTCCCTCGAGTAAAAAAAGTAAGTAGATATCGTCACCTTCCGACCACAGTATCACAAGCGCCATGCGACGTTTCAAAATTTCCGCCGAAATTTAATTTTTCCCCAGGGAAATGGTATCTGAAGACGCTCGTGATCGTGCTCTGAAGAGGAATTGAATCCATTGAATCGTTGGAAGCAGGTGGTTGCAATAAGTTTCGAAGTGAACCCAACAATGTTGAACTTCGCACTTTAGCTTAGTCTTGATCCATTACGAGAGGTGCCGCGCATAAGTAGTTTGGATATCAAGGGGGCTTCAACTAAGTTCTCTAGGTTCACTTGACTAAAATTACCTTACTACAACACGAATAGGAGCAAGAAATGTCCAAAATTCAATACGGCCATTTTTGTGATTCACAGCTAATGAGCCATACGTTAATGCACTTATAAGGAGACTTTAACGCAGAGGTAGAAAAAACGACTAAAATGTTGGTTACCTCTTTGGAGTTTCCAAACTGGAGTTTAAGGCTTCGTCATGATACGTACGCTGTTTTTTAGGGAAAAAACGTTATTCTACAATACTTTTGCCCCTCTTGATTAAGAACAATTGATTTGATAGAGTAACCTATCTTTCGCGAATGAAGTAACTTGAGACTTATGAAAATCTGAAAAATTACATTTCTCAAGACGTATATACTACTGAGTTTTGTTCATGTGCATGCAGAAAATGCGATCCTTTTTACTGGGCCAGCGGGCTGATTAGTGCAAATAATAGACAAAGCGATAGATAAAGAAGATGGAATGAAAATGGAGCAATTCTATTCGTGAGATAGGGTGGTTGCTATAAACAAAGGATGTAAGCAATAGAATAACGCACGGCAACTCATGAGGGACCCTGTAGTTAATTTTTTGCATGTCAACCTTTGCATTTTTTTTGTCTATCGCTTTGTATATCAACTGCAATAATCAGCCCGCGCACTGAAACAAAATTCTCGGCGTTTTTACCATGGTCCGTTGGTACCTTTACCATCTCACTTTTTTTACCAATTATTGGTAATTTTACAAACACAGACTGGTAAGCTTACCTAAAAACCG